GAACAAGTTTCACTTGCCACCTCGACCTGCCACTTGCCACTTGCCACTGTCCAGTGGACATCCACCGTTCCAGTTGCTTGGCCATCATCGAAAATTGCAATTTGCAACTTGAATTTTAAAGTTGGTGCAGTACGCGCGGGTAGGTAGTATCGCAATGTGCAGCTTGTTCTTGGTTTGAAACATTGTTTCGGTACCTTGAGCCAAATTGCTTCATAAACATGGCTGTTTGTCATGTTTCTGCCTCTGTAGCTGTCTGCCTCTTAAGCCGGAAACGCGTTAAGCACCATTGTAGACTAAATGGAAATGATTATAGAGCTGACTGTACCTCAAACGATAGAGATGGGAGTACTAAAACAAATGAATATGAAGTTGACAACGTTCTCAAGTCTAGAATATCCATTTTTCGCTGTAACCAACCCCGATCACGCCACCATCGCCAATAACTTAATTATTAGTTGGTTGTACTTGTTCTTGGTGCGGTTGCGCTTCAGTGGCTTCAGCGCCCACATGCACGATGCCTGGGAAGCGCCTGAGCCAGAGCCAGAGCCAGAGCCAGAGCTCGAGCTCGCTGCACTTGCTCTCGTTCTTATTAAATGGAAGAGAAGACAAAAGGAGAACCCTTCAAAGTTGGCCACGCAAATTCAAGAATAATAATTACATGCATATAAGGTAGCTCCCAGGGGCAGTGTCTGCATATGCCCGCAGTTGAACGATCTTCATGCTTGACAGACTTTTCCCACAGCCAATTGTAACCGACACTGCTGCAATTTGGTGATAGTTTACCTGCTAGATGCCGGCATTTTCTTGCCAGATTCCCCTTAGATCCCCTTAATTTCAGCCCATTAGCAAAGCCATCTAACAAACTTCAACCAGCGACAGACAGATCCGAATCCGACTGCTAATGTGCGAGTACTCGACGGGGCTTTCGTTCTGTCCAGGTCTCTCTCTAAGCCCCGGCATCTAGTCCATAATTAGACACTAAAGCGAAATTAGATTAATGATAGGCCCACATTGGGTGAGCTAACCAAAACAAGCCCCAGCCCCACTCCGCTCCCCCTCCCGCCGGCTTTGCCCAGGTAGTTTCCGTCCCAGCACGCAATCCCAGAGATAGGCCCCAAAAGACAGACCTAGACAACATGCTGATGGAGTTCTTAGCTAGCTGAAATTTGTAGAACGCCGCTGGCAGCGCTTCCAGCATGATGATTATTCTCCAAGACTAATGACTTACTTGCTCCCACCTTGAACGCAGGCAAGCAGTCCCCAAGCTAAATAGTACAATGTCAAAGCGATGTTATTAGAAACATATGATAAAGATAAGCAGATACTGAGCAGCGGAAGCTGTACCCTTTCTTCCCCTTCTTGGCTTTAAATACTTTTAAGTAGAAAAAATGAAAAGAATATGAAGAAAAAAAGAAAAAGCAGCAAAAAGTTTGATGACAATGCCAACAACACGCGGTGTTCCCAAGCGGTCCCCCATCTAAGTACTAACCGCGCCCGACGCTGCTTAATTTCGGTGATCGGACGAGAACCGATGTATTCAGCGTAGTATGGTCGTTGGCGAAAGTCTACAGTTGGAATTTCTAGTAAAAGTCACTAAAGCTCATTTCAGTCAGAGCTTTTCAAACGAAAGTTTTTCGCAGTTCCATTAGCTGTAGCAGCAGTGTTCTGGGTCGGTGTTCTTCTTCTTCACACGGTTTTCCATACAACTCGTTTTTCTGGCTCTTTAGAGCTCAATAAAAGCCAAGATAACGGTGTTTGGCAAACGCTTTTCCTGCATGCATATGAGAGATACAATTTGTACGAGTGTGTCACAAGTACATATCTATGACAATTGCAGCCAGAGCCACAGCCATGCACGAGTATGAATGGAAGGGCTTTGTCTTTCAAAGCCGACAAAGGCAAAATAAACAAGTGAAAACCCATAAAGCGAAGGGACGAGTGGGTATGGGCGGAGAGGAAAAAGAGTTTGCCGTTGTCTTTGCCAGCACATTAAGTAATGTGATCTATGCAACCTCATCTGGGAGATTGTATCTCCCCGAGCGTACATCTTGCGGCTGTGCGAATCTGCATATCGAATGCATTTCTTTGTTGTGCCACTGCCACAGCCGCCACCGAAAGTGCGTCCACAGCTTAGCTCATTTGCATATGATGAACATTTCTTTCCGCCGCCCCACCTCTTCCTTCTCTTCATACTTGTAATATGGAAGATATGACGGAAAGAAATCTTGACACATGGTAGGAAGGAAGGAAGGTTCTTTTTCTCGGCTAATTAAACTGCCTTCAACGAATCGTAAATGTAACGTGCCAAAGTTGTTAAGAGCGGCGAACCGAAACCCAGGGGGAATCGTATGCCGCAAGAGTCGACTATAGCGACTAGAAGTTACCCTCTGAGTAGTTTTACTTTGATTTAACGGAAAAGAAAGCAATTATAGCTAGAGGTAAAGAGAATGAATATATGAAAAGTGCTGTATCTTATCCATTTGAAACTCTTCTCTCTGAGTATGCTCTTATGCTCTACGAATGAGTGGCTTAACAAGCTTACATACACATGTAAGTGTCTGTCTGGCAATTGTTTTTGTTTTGCGAAGCGGAACGCAAATTAAAGTGACTTTGAGGAGCTACAGCCAGGGCGCCTGTCTTCTGGGGCTGTCCACTTGCCAAGCGTTAAGTTCAAAGTGCACTCACAGATACGACATATATCACTGTCCCACTCAACTCCACTCCACTCCAGCATGCCACTTAAAATTTCTCACTCTTCTGTGTCTCTCTCTCTCTCTCTCTTGCAGTGCTGAACTGAGCAATTTCCATCATGGACACCGGAAGTGTGGTTAGCGAACCGATTTCCGCGCATCATCGCGCCTTTGCCAAACAGAAATCCGCCTCCATGGTAAGTTCATTCGATTGCAGAAACACAAACCAATCTGTGCAGGCCGATTGTGTAAGGCCAAATTACATATAGAAATATGTGTGTACACATAATTAATGCAACAGCTATCCCTGCCCTGCCCCATTGTCTGATTCGATTATATAAGAGCGAAAATGCTATCTACGCTAATTAGATGTTGACACGCACATCCCAACCCAACCCAGACAGACCCAGACTTTGCATCGTTTCACGCTAGAAAGTTGTCGAAAATGAAAATTCACAAATAGCCAAAGATACATCAAAGTTGTGTACATGCAAGCAAATTGCTGATGAAATGTACGAAGGGAAGGTAAGCCTTCAGAAGTATTTTTCTTAGCAAAAAATTAAGTTGGAACGTCGCTAAGAAAATCTTGTAAATGACAGATAATAAAATGTTGGAAATGGCAGTGGCCCAAAACACAAACACTTTTCGAAAATGAATTGCAAATTGCCTTTGAATGCATTTTGAAGCAACACTTTCACGCGGCCCACAACAATGCAGAGTCATTCATTCCGATGCAACCTGTGCATTCAGTTGCATTCAACCGATTGGCTGTTCGACTATGAATCAAAATATTTTTCCACACACAAGTACTGGTTTTATGTGTGAAATGCTGCAAATGGTGGCGGGGTGTCTGGAATGAATAAGTGTGTGAATATGATTCAATTTTCAAGAATTTCATGCCGGCATATCCTAGGTAGTGAAGTTTTGGGAAAAGTAAAAACGTTGAGAAAGCGAAGCCTCTGACCCCACACTACAGATCTTTAACACTTGCCCTCTGTAGCAACGAGCATCATCATAACTTAATATATAAATGGAACTTCACCCATATGAACCTCTCCCACTTGCACAATAAGTTGGAGATACTCTTTATTTTGTGCGGTGGAACGGGGAGAGGAATGTCATTCACAACAAATGATTTCTGCTTAGCAATTTGGGGGAAAGAAGTCCGACACCACCATGGAACTTTCACTCGCAGTCAGATGATTGAAAGCAAGAGTGAGTGACGAATATACTCCCCTCGTAACTACATTTTGTTGCTTTCTGCGTTCGAGCATCGAACATCAGCATCCACATCGATGCGTCTCATTAGCCGACAGGTGTTTAGTCAAGGGGCGTTGGAGAGGAAACCATGGCAATATAACATCTATAAATAGACTCAGTAAATTGGCCATAACTAATGGCTGAACCAATACGAGCATGTACATATGAATTACGTTTGTAGTTCGCCCAAAGATTGAGTAACTATTTGCATGGAATGGAACATCAGAAGTACACTGCTCGGAAGACCTTCCACAAACCGCACCCCAAAAGAAGGGTCTGCTTTTCACACCCTTCTTGACGACAGATACAGATCCCTACCATTGCCAACGGTCAATTAATTCCTTCCACAAAATTACATCAATTACTCAACGGCAGAGAGCACAAGATCCCAGCCCGCATTTGATATTTGAAACTACCTTCTAATATATGCAAATTTATTTATGATCTGAATGTAAAAGTCAAGAAATTGTAGGGCCCAATCCGCGGTGTGAAGAAGTTCTCACGTTCTCGTTTCTGTCTGGGCTGGACAATGTCCAGTCTCGATTTCCTTCAACCTCCCCTTCCCCACTGTGTTATTAATTTTGTACAAATTTCTCAACAACTGCAACTTCCTCGAGCCAAAGGTAGGGGTTGCCTGCAGAGGGGTGAAAGGAAGCTTCAATTGTGCCAAGGCGGTGGTTGTTGCATTTATGTAAGTGCAGCTGAGACAAGACTGTGTAACGGTTCGGGGTTTCACTTATGGGGTGGTGTGCTAATTTTTTCATGTTGCAAACGGAAGCACACACTGTGCAGCTTATCCTATGGGAACGTGATTAAAAACGCGCAAACTGATTAGTAATTATGCTGCAACTGTCATTCATGCCCCGCCGAAAATAGCATTTCTACATAATGTTTACATGGCAAAAAACTTACATACATATGTGTACATTCGTGTGCATGTTTGTACATATGTATGTAGCTTCAAGCTCGCCAAACCCAAAAGCTCCGGCAGCGCCAAAAGCTGAGAGAGAAATTCACCTCATCAGCTGATTTCTCTGTGGCACCACGGCGCTGCTGACGTTCTGTGTTTTGTTTGTTAAAATTTGTGTTTGTTTCTCCTTAAATTGGACATAAGTGTTTGTTGTAAACTTAATGCATATACCCGCAACATTTCCATTGTGCTGGCGTGCACCTATGAATAATTGTACTGTGATAAGTGTGATAAACGAGAGACTTTAAGCGAAACTCAAGCAACAACAACAACAACAAGTGCTCAATTATCAGTAATTTACAATATTAGGAAACTTGATTCCATAAGCCAACAAAACTGAACTGATTCATGTTTAACAATAAATGAGCCAGCGATTATATAACAAGTAAACAGAGAAGAACAGAAACCGAACAGCGAACAACAAATACCGAAAGCGAACGAGCGAAAAGCATTAGAACCGAAGTTCACCTCGCCCCCAGCGTACAAAATGCGAATCGTTGGCTCCAATATGCTGTCCGCCCTCAAGCGGCTTTCAGTCAGCCACCAGAATCAGCCGATCTTGGCCAGCAATCGCGGCAGAACACAGTCGCTAACACTACGATCAGTCCACAGTCAATTTGGGACAATGAGTCTGCCGGAACGGAAACCCTTCACGCCGGACTTCTTCTTCCGGCAAGTACGTAATGCGAACGCATCTGATGAAATTTCCCAACTCAGCCGAGATTAACCATCGCCACCAACAGCTGTTCGATGGGGAGAGCAGCACCTACAGTTATCTGCTGGCGGACCTGAAGACTGGCGAGGCCGTGATCATCGATCCCGTGCTGGACCAGGCCAAGCGAGATGCCCAGCTGGTGAAGGAATTGGGATTCAAGCTCAAATATGCCAGTGAGTGAGCGGGGAGGAGAGGGGTGCTCTTATCACCTTGGAGATCATTTCATCATTCCACGCACGTATTTCAGTCAACACACACATGCACGCGGATCACATAACGGGCAGCGGCTGGCTCAGAGAGCTGACGGGCTGCCAGTCGGTGATTGCCGCCGCCAGCGGTGCCAAGGCGGACCGCCACCTGCATGAGGGCGATCGCGTCGATTTTGGGAGTCATGTGATTGATGCACTGGCGACTCCTGGGCACACCAATGGCTGCATGAGCTATGTGATCAAGGATCAGGGCTGTGTCTTCACTGGCGACACACTCCTCATACGCGGCTGCGGACGCACAGACTTCCAGGAGGGCAGCCCCAAGAATCTGTACGAAAACGTCCACAGCAAGATCTTTACGCTGCCCGAGAACTATCGCATCTATCCGGCCCATGACTACAAGTGAGTTGGAGGTGGATGAAAGTGAAGGGAAAGTCGAGTGCTAATACTTTGAGCCTTGCAGGGGACAGATGGAGAGCAGCGTGTGGGAGGAGAAGCGATACAACCCCCGACTGACCAAGGATCTGGCAGAGTTTATCAAAATCATGGACAACCTCAATCTGCCGTATCCCAAGAAGATAGACGCCTCGCTGCCCGCCAATCGAGAGTGCGGGGTCTACGATATTCCCAAGGAGTAAATCAAATTCCCATGAAGACACTTCGAGTGCAGCTAATCCAACATAAATATATCAAAATACTTCCAAGAGATTTGTAATCTATAAAATAAACAAGCCTGCGTAATCCACACTCAAACCTGATTGCTTTACTCCCGAAACACAATGACTTTCCCCATGAAGAAACATCATCTAATATCTGTAACTTTTTCCTATTTTTACAGACCATTTTGAATCCGAAGGGTTGTGGCAGTGCTGCCAAATATAGTCTGCACACCGCAGTGGCAGCCGAGAACCATGATCCAGGCAATGGCCACACGACCAGCCACAGCTCCACCACGGGAAGACGACGCAAGGGTGGATCCCTGGGCGGAACGCTCTCATCCCGCTCCACGCGCAGCGAGTCAAAGGAGCTGCGTTCGGCTCTGCAGGATCGCGAGGCCGTCATCCAGAATCTGCGCATCCAGCTGTGCCTGGGAAAGCTGCCGCGCCCCAGCGGACCGCCGCTGGACGATTCGGAGAAGCCGGCAGCCGAGCAAAAGTTGAACCGACTCAAGTCCGAGGCGGAAAACAAGCGCATCAAGATCAAGAACCTGAAGAGTGCCCTCGAGAAGCTGGACATCACAGAGTGAGTAATGAGTGAGCAGCTCAAGCCGAAGCAGACGCTAATCGCTGCTCTTTCTCCTCCAGCAACATTGACATCCGCATCCGGCAGGCAGAGCTGGAGTACGCCCTGGGCCGGGAGGAGCTGCAGATGCTGTCCATAGTGGAGGAGGCACGGGCACTGCAGGCCAGGCTGGAGAAGTCCAAGCCGGAGGCCCAGACCCTCTACAACATCATCAGCTCTGGGGTGTCGCTCAGCCTGCACGCGGTGCATGCAACGTCCGGGCGTTGGGCAGCCCAGCAGCGGGCCGATCAGCCGGGATTCTATGTGGAGTGGGCCCTGGAGGGCGACGGACTGTACAAGGGCGATCGCATACTGGAGATCAACGGACGCCTGGTGACCAGCAAGACCAAAGAGGAGCTGCAGAAGCATGTGGGCAACTCCGGCAAGTGCCAGATGGTGGTGCTGCGCAAGAAGTCCCTGCCCATACCCCAGAAGCAGCTCGACCAGGAAAAGGAGAACAACATGCGACTGCAGCATCGCATCTCCTACCTGGAGGAGCAGGTGCGAGAGCTGCAGACAGTCAAGGAGCAGCAGCCCAATCACCACCAGCAGCAGCAGCAGCAGCAGCACCACCAGCAGCAGCAGCAACTGCATCAGACACCCACCAGCCAGTCGCAGCACGTGACCAGCATCAGCATCTCATCTCCCCCCTCGACACCGCCCGAAAAGCCGCTCATCTTCCAGCGGGGCAACTACATCACCACCCTGGTGGGGGGCAAGCCAATAGAACTGATGGGCGACGATGGCGCCCAGACGCCCGCGCACGTCACCAAAACCCTGATCAAGGAGAACACCCACATCGACATGCGCGAGCGACTGCCCCACATGTATTCGATGCCCTCCAAGTCGCTCTCCGCGTCGAAGATCTCCATCAACAGCGACTCCGCCTACATGCAGCACCACAGGCGCGAGAAGGAGCGCCACCGCGAGCGTCGTCCACGCGATCCCCTGCAACAGCAGCAGCAGCTCCACCGCGAGCATCTGATGAGCGCACATGCCCGCAGTGTGGAGCACCTCAACCAGTACAATGGGTAGGTTAACAGAGACTCAACCGCTAGCTTTCATCGATACTAATTTCTATGCTCCCCTCAGACTGGAACGGCGACGGGACACGCCCCGACAGAGCGAGGCGCAGACCCTGCGCACCCGACTACCCAGCGATATGAGAAGCGTCAAGTCCCTGGACTTTGACAGCGAAAACGAATCCAGACCAGCGACGGAGAGCAACCGCACGGCGCGACCCACGCCGCCAAAGAAGCCACTGCGACTGTCCCTGCAGCGGGCTCAGAGCCTGCAGACGGTGGAACTGCACCCTGGCCACGATCTGGAACGGAAGCGGCCCATGAAACGGATGCACCACAACAATAGCAACCACAACAAGAGCCTCGCCACAGCCTCGCCCACGGATGAGGGCCAGACGATGCTCATCGAGAACTGCAGTCCCCTGCACACAGCCTCCCTGGGCAGGCACAAGCTCATCTAAGGGCAAGGATTGGAAACACAGGGACACCCCCCCACCCCACGTAGTGTTTAAATGGTTGACACCAACAGGCGGACATGTGCAAAACTAGAATTAGAATTATATTTACCTTTAGGCAGGCGGCAGGCAGAGGAGTCTCACGTAAAGGGGAGAGATTCATTTGAACTCGAGCTCTTTATTCCGCTGCACTTACAGTCTATATCGATAAGGGAGTAGTGAGAGATCATCGTATTGTATGATGATTTAATTAGCACAATATTGAACATCATTTAATGTGAATACACGAATATATTCATTTAATTAGTTGTTGAATTCATTTGGTAGCAGAAATCGTGCTTTGTCGGGCCAGCCCCCGACGTATATTGGTCGTATATTTTGTGTGACTACTGAAGCTGATAAGATTTAATTGATGGCAACTAAATCATTGACAGATAAGAGCAGAGCCAATACCCATTCGAAAGTTGATTTCGACTCACAGTATTCCAGAGACTCGAAGCAGTTTGTTGAAAAGTACGTTGAAAAATAGAAATAAATACAAATCTTTCTGAATGATCATAGTACCAACTCCATTCATGTATGGATGTATGGATCACAATCAGTTTTTCAAACAGTGACACATGATCAATATCAGGCAGACAGGAAAAGGTATCCCGTCCATTACCGCGACAGGTACCAAAAATATGCTAAGCGAAACTCAAACACCGATAAGCGCACACCCTGTCCAATAAACAAGCACTCATAATTCAATCATTGAGTGCCAGAATTGAAGTGTCTGATATCTTGATCGTTTTCAGTTTGGAATCAATATGTGGCGAATATTTGCGCTTGCACTGGCACTCTGTGCAGCTGCTCAGCCGGTAAGACCCTTAAGGATTAACAATACCCTGTACAATGGCAATTCATTCTTGGCAGTCGGAAAACGTACAGAATAATTCATCAAGTCTGCCGGTAGGCAAGCCCTTTACTTCGGACTTTTTCTTCCGTCAAGTACGTAATACGAACTTCAGCAATGAAAACCTTTTGCAAACTCTCCCAACTGATGCCACAGCTTTTCGATGAGGAGAGCAGCACCTACAGCTACCTCTTGGCAGATCTGAAGACTGGCGAGGCCGTGGTCATCGATCCCGTGCTGGAACAGGCCAAGCGAGATGCCCAGCTGGTGAAGGAATTGGGCTTCAAGCTCAAATATGCCAGTGAATATGCTTGAGCCATCTCAGTAAACTAAATATGACTAATATCACTTGCGTCTTAATTATTAATCCAAAGTCAACACACACTTGCATGCGGATCACATCACGGGAAGCGGTTGGTTGAGGGAGCTGACGGGTTGCCAGTCCATGATTGCCGCCGCCAGCGGAGCCAAGGCGGATGTGTATCTGGAGGAGGGCGATCGAATTGAATTTGGGAGTCATTTCATTGATGTCCTAGCCACCCCAGGTCACACCAATGGCTGCATGAGCTATGTGATCAAGGCGCAGGGCTGCGTCTTCACTGGCGACACAGTTTTGATACGCGGATGTGGACGCACAGACTTCCAGGAGGGCAGTTCCGAAAGTCTCTACGAAAATGTCCACTCCAAGATTTTTACTCTGCCCGATTACTTTCGCATCTATCCGGCCCATGACTACAAGTGAGTTAGAGGTGGATGAAAGGGAAACTCGAATGCCAACACTTTTATTCTTGCAGGGGACAACTAGAGAGCAGCGTTTGGGAGGAGAAGCGGTACAACCCGCGTTTGACCAAGGATCTGGAGGAGTTTATTCGGATCATGGACAATCTGAACTTGTCTTATCCCAATAAGATAGGTAGCTAGTAGTACTTATGCCATGAAATCGTCTCATAAATATTGGATCTATTTCAGATGTCTCGCTGCCTGCCAATAGAGAGTGCGGAGTCTACGACATACCCAAGGAGTAGTACGAAAATGAACGAAAATATTATGTCATTTAAAATAAATGGTTTAACAATATTACCTTTAACCGAAGCTTTGGCATCCATGTGCTTGAGGGCATGTCCATTAGTTTTATCCACCACTGTACGAGCGAGCACTGCACGTATTTTGTGCCGCGATAGTGAATGCAGCTTATGCACTCGAAACCAATCTGAGCGCCGTCAGTGTAGGTGGAGGCACGAGCCGAGCACGTATTTTGTGACGCGATGGCGATAAACTATTGAAATAAACCTCACGTTAGCGTGTCGCTGCATTGTATAAGGGGTATTCATTGTGTTGTTACAATTATTAAACTCGTAATTGAACAATACAATTGAACAGTAAAGCTAAACGATTGATAAGTGTAAGCCATTTCTGGTGTTTAAATACTCAGACTAACCGTACAAATTCAGCACTTGCTAAAGCTTTGCGAATGTGAGAGAGTAATTCAGAGAGGAGAGCGAGCGCAGATTTCTCCCACACACACGACACGATCCAATCTCAGGTGCGCCTCTCTCTCTCTCTCTCTCTCTCTCTTCCCAGTCAAAAAAGTTGATTTGCGGCAGCAAAGCCCGAGACTTGTCCGCAGTTCTCCGCCGACAATTGCACAAATTGGTTGATTTTTCGTGAAATATAAGTAATCAGCATTAAGTACATAGTTGCTAACAAGGTGAGTACGCACCCAGCTGAAATTAAAAAGAACAAGTGTGAGTGGAACAATTGGCGAAGGTGAAGTTAATTACTAAATCTGAGACGAGGATCAATTCATAATGATTCATTATTTATTCTTTCGAGCCAGTTTTCATTTACGAACTCTGAGACATCGCATCGAAACCAGTTACCGCAAAACGCAGCTTAAATTTACAGTTCATTTTTTTGTGTTTCTTTTTTCGCGCTGCGTTCGTCGTCCGCGTGCCCTTGGGTGGGTTAATGTAACCAGTTATTCTTATGTTCACGCACTCAAGCGAGCGTGTGTGTGTGTGTGTGTGTGTGTGTGTGTGTGTGGGTGGGTGCAAGACTGCACTTGAGTCGCAATTTAAGCTGCCAAGAGGAAGCCAAGCTTCATTGCAATACCCACACAATCCACACTGGCGCTACCTACAGCTTCGCCTTTGCTGAATTTCTGATCAGCGGGGAACGACACTTGTTTGCCATCTTCTGCGAGTATCTACCGTATTGAAACTAATGCATCAATCTTATCTGCACATTTTGCATCGTTTACACAACTCCATTGTGTGCAAAATTCAATTGTTCAGCGCTTTTCAATGATGGGTACCAAAAGTAATTACAAGTATCATGCTTTCAGGGATCATGCTAGGGACTCCATCAATGCTGATAACTCTTGTGACTGAGCTTGAACCCTTGACAATTATTTTCCAATCAATTATAGAACACTTTCTGTCAGGCGTACACCTAATAACACCCATTTGATGGACAAACAATGATGATTATCCGTAATTTGTCACAGGGGTCAGAACGATTCCCTTGCATATATAAACAGGAACAAACTGCGAGTAGAGCAGCGTCGCAAATAAGGGTCTAGCATTTCCATTTCTCAGATAGGCACAAGTCTCGGACAAGTTGCGGACGATGACAGGCACAGCACATATAGCCGTGAGAATCGTAAATTGTGCCTCACATTTCGAGTGCGCAGATAAAGGTAGAGCACGTACAAGAGCGTAGCCAAATCTACAGCATATCGCAGTCGCCAAACTGATAAGCGGCCGTCCGACCTGGGCCATTGAACGAGCATTCCTCTGATAAACTCCCCCGCAGCCATAATTCCAGTTCATAATTCATTCATTGAGCATTGGAAATGAATTGCGTATGAAAAAGAGATTGTTGATTGACCTTCCACACAGCCACGCTTAACCCTGTGAAAAATGCCGTTTAAATTGATTGGTGTGTGTGTGTGTGTGTGTCTGTCCGTCCGTCCATTTATATACGGATGGGTACTCGCACATCGTATATCATATATGACCCACAAATAGATCTCATAAATTGAGGTTAGACACTTTAATTCCGCACACAGCTGCCCGGATTCAATGGGCGGTCAGTGTTCAAATTAAGCGAATATTCACCTGATGATGAGCGATGGTTAGCTCTAGCTAAATATGATCCCAGTTTCTTCTACTAGCTCCTTAATGAAGCCTTCTTCCCTTTCAGCTTGAAATATGATGCAAAGTATTGTCATCTCTCTGGCACTCTGTGCCACAATCTGTGCTGCTGCTCAGACGGTAAGTGCCAGCGGGTTGAACCCCAGAACGATTTTAACTTCTTGATTCCCAATTGCAGCGTAACACGCCCATACAGGCCATTGCCTATGTGAGCGGACCCGTCCAAGCTGATGGCAGCCAGGTCAAGGGGAACGTTACCTTCACACAGAATGACTGCGGCCAGAATGTCCATGTGCGTGTTCAGTTGGAGGGCCTGAAGGAGGGCAAACACGGCTTCCACGTTCACGAGAAGGGAGATCTGAGCAATGGCTGCACCAGCACGGGCGGTCACTATAATCCCGACAAGGTGAGCATGTCCTTTGCGAGTGTCCTCTACTCTTGACTCATGAGTGTTGACTTGCTTTGCTTTCAGGTGGATCATGGCGGTCCCGATCATGAGGTGCGCCATGTGGGCGATCTGGGTAACCTGGAGGTCAACTCCACGGGCGTCATTGACATCACGTACACGGATAAGGTGATCAGTCTGACCGGCAACCGTGGCATTATCGGACGTGCCGTTGTTGTCCACGAGCTGGAGGACGATCTCGGACTGGGCGATCACGTGGACTCCAAGAAGACGGGCAATGCGGGTGGCCGTATCGGTGAGGATTGCTAGCTCTAGAATTCCTTTGCCATTGATTAATTATTTATTCTTGTTTTCCCTTGCAGGCTGCGGTGTGATTGGTGTTAAGTAAATAACTTCCTCTACCTCTCTCTTGTCCGTCAAAGAAAGACAGTATCGAATGACTTTCGAATATTTTTGTATACGTACTCGTTCTACATGTAACTTCGGCTAATGGATTGTTTTTCCCTCTCCCCCATGGGGACACACAAACACAAACCACACGTTTTTTTTTTCTCTTCCACAAACTGTCGCAGTTCACTGACTCTCTCCGCCGCTCTTCCTCCTGTTCTCTCTCTGTGTGTGTGTAATAAAAACAACAATAATTAACCGAAATCCAAGCTAAACATATTCATAGAAACATACTTACGGGCATGTAGCAACTCATTCATATTTTTCTTGGCCTAAACAAACTCTTGCATCGATTGCTCATTCCGGGTGGGGTGGGCTGGCTGCCACTGTTACCCCTAACTTGTACTAACATAATTCCCATTAATGCGTATCGAAAAACTTAGAAGTAAGAGCATCTGGAATGGCCTGCCACCCTAATTGGAAATTGGAATTCAGTTTATACTAACCCACCAACCACGCTCCGGAGTTCATCAATCTTTGCTCGCTTCAACTTCTGGTCTGGCTTCTGTCTTGCAGTGGCGTCGCACAGCAGCTTCAAGAGGCAGCACCAATACGAACACCATCAGCACACCATCATGTCCATCCCCAGCCCCCACTGTACTATGTGCCCCATGAGCAGCCACAAGATCATGTTCTCTATCCACTCCAGCGCTATCCCTCGTACCCATACCCACCATATCCGTATCCGTATCCGTATCCGTATCCGCACCCGTTCTATGTGTGAATCCCACTACTAGCCGAAGATTAGAATACATCTGTGCACCCACTCTACTTACAGCTCGGATGTGGACGAGTGGCCATGCCGCGATGGCGGCGCCGGAGGTCTGCGGAGCTCTCTCTCCATTCTCGCCGTTGTCGTTGCTCTCTTCCTCTCGCGCAGCGTCTAACACTCGCATGATGAGAGCCGAGCAGAGCATGTGGCATGGGATCGTTCATCTTGCACACACACACACACACACATACCAATTAATAATACTCCAACAGCATTATCCACCCAAAACTAAAACACTGCAGAGAATAATCAGCGTTACTTGTATTACGTTTTGAAATGTTTGATAATAAAATTTTGTTATACATTGAATTGAGTCTTTTGCAGTTGTTCAGATAAGTAGGGAAAGAAAGCAACCGATAACCATATCGTTTGTTCACATTTTAAATTACCAAACAGGAGTCTTGTCGGCAAGTTATTTATGACCTGCAATCTATTGGTGGGTTCATTAGAGTCCGCTGAATACTTTCACTTCCTCCATTGGTAGTTAATGTTAGGCTCCATAGACCTCTTTCTTGGTACCTTTAAAGGTTTCCCTCGGCTAACTCGCGGACACTAATGAAGCTTCAACTTCAACTGATTCATGGAACTGCAATTTCTGTGGATTGCCCAGCGGATTCTTTCCAGAACTTTTGGTCAAGCAACAGTTCTTGTTTTTGTTTTTTTTTTTGGCTAAAGTGGTCAGATTTCTACGACCAGATAGGACTCCTCCCAGCCAGGGGGTCTCGAGCTACTTCTAGCAATAAGTTCCGACACGCAACAATAACATCACCCAAAGCCTCTCTCCCTCTCCCTCTGCTCCTCAGACTCTGCACACAAATGGGGCCAACTGATGACTGGACTGTAGCATACTTCTGGGCGTCTTTAATTATTTGCACAGTCTTGAATTCGGGTTTCCTGGAGAGCGTTTATTGCCTTCACACGAAAGCACGCAATTAATTTCGCCTTGAGCCCGGTCTAGTCCAAAGTGTGAAGTGGCTGGGCTGGCGAGCCTGAACTTTAAAGGGAAATGCCAGCAGAGTTTTTATGGTAATAAGTGCAATGACCCACCAAGAAAGAAACAGTGGTGCGGGTTAGGTAAGCTTCACGCAACCCAAAATAAAGAAAGGCCGAAGGGTGCCAGCGGACGTAAGCAATCACCCTGTCCAGCTTGCTCTGGTCAAAGTTGTTTGGCTTTTGCCTCTGTATCGAGTTACTGTTCGAAATGGGTTGCAAAGCATTAGACCCCGTCCGCACACCCTATTCCCTATTCGCTATTCCCTGTGCCCATTCCTATCCCTATTCTGAACTAATCATGCCTGGCCTGAATTCGAAACGGGGCCCCAAGACTTTCACTCACTTTTACTTTTAGCCACTGCCGGACAGTTCCAATCCGTTGCCAGCGCCAACCTCCGACTGGCCACAACACAAATGCCGAGCCAGCAGAAGGCTTCTAAGGCCCAGCCGGAGCGTTGCTCTGGTCAGTTCGTGGTTTAGCTTCTCATTGACCGGACGCGTCCAGTGATCGTTCTGCTCCATCATAGTCCATTGAAATTGGCGTCCATTGAGTACAAATCAAAATGCGTTCTTGCGGTCCGAGCCTAATCAAATATGTTTTGTTTGCCTTCAATGTGCTCTTTGCGGTGAGTGTTTCAAGTAGTCCTAAATATATGAAATTTGTACTTTAATTGTGATGCGTTATAAGGATATCTTATAAGGATATGCTTGGGGCACTTATGATCCCCATTCGCTGGCACTTTCATGCCATTCCTTCAGGTTGAAGTTCTCTTTCCCCAGCAGTTTACAGTTGCGCTATCAGTTTTGTCCCTAGAATATCCAATCGAACCCAATCAATACTTCTCTGATTCATATTTGGCATATGGCCTGGAACATTCCAACTTATTCTTGCCTCATAAATTCCCCCTTCAGCACTATAATCACGCTTATGCACAGAGTCTTGTTTGGTGGGATCATTAAGATGATTATCGCTGGACAATGACATTTGCAAATGCGATTTGAGTGTATTTGATTGTGGCGACATGCAACTGGAGGACACGACCACAGTGTGTCCTTCGCATTGACCAACAGAGCAAACAACCAATGACCAAACTGGCAATGACATGAACATGGACACGGGACACGGGACATGGAAATATCGCTGGGTTGTGGGTGGCGCTGATGTCAATCGAACAATTAGAATTGGATATGTAAATACTAATAGGACTTGATTGGAAGCCATTAGCCTAATTGTGCGCGGGGATATATTGGGGATATTGCCATTGGCATTTGTTCTCTTAATCAAACCGATCGAATTCCTGCAGCTCTCGGGCCTGGGCATACTCATTGCCGGAGCCATTGTGCTGGCCGATGTCAATGAGTTCAATCACTTTGTGGAGGGCCGAGTGATAGCGCCGCCCATTGTGCTGATTGTGACGGGACTGATCATATTCCTGATCGCCTCGCTGGGCTGCTTCGGCGCCATCAAGGAGTCCCCAACGCTCCTGCTAACGGTAGGTGCAGAGTCCAGTAGCTGCAGCAGAAACCACTTCTAAGGTGCCTTCCACATTCACAGTTTGCCGTTCTGTTGGCCGTCATCTTCATCGTTGAGCTGGCCGTGGGCATTGCAGCCAGCGTGTTCAAGAAGGACCTGGAGATGATGGTGAAGAGCTCCCTGCAGGAGTCGATCAAGCGCTCCAACAGCGAGGACACCATGGCCTGGGACAACATACAGCGGAAGCTGATGTGCTGCGGCGTCGACACCCCGGCGGACTGGCGGGCCATCAGCGCGAACAAGACGCTGCCGGCCAGCTGCTGTCAGCCGCAGTTCATTGACACAACTGTCGGACACTGTCTGGACTCGCCGGCCCTCGGCAAGGACAAGTTCTACCAGGATGGCTGCGTGGGCAAGCTGAAGGATCGCATCGACAAGAACGCCAGCATCCTGATTGGCGTGGGCATTGGCATTGCCTTCATTCAGATTCTGGGCATTTTTCTCGCCTGCTATCTGGCCTCCTCCATACGCCGGGAACAGGCCAAGTAATCCCCAACGTTTACACATTTATTTCTATACTATTGCTAACCATCAAGCGCAACAATCCTCCCCAACAATTGCTTCCTTTTTTCAAACTGATTAATCCGAGAAGAATCTCTGAACTATTTCCCTTTCTTCTGTGTTTCCATCTACCATCCTTGCAGCTTGTTGCCCCGTAAATCGTAAATTGTTGCTTTTAATTATCGAATAAAAAATACACAAGAACACAAGCGGAGGCAGGAACTTGTTTTGGTGTCGTGTCCTTTGTTACTTTATTGTTTATTTACTTTGGGAACTACTTTCGTTTGCGATTGGCCAGGCACAACGTCCACACAAGCTTGATTTGTGGCCCCTAGGGGGTCGTCTAAGTAAGGATAACACAACTACGGCATGGACGCTGATCTGTGTCTCAGCTGAGTGCTTAACAAGTGCACAAGTTGGGCTACAAATGCAATGGTAATGGTCATGGTCCATGTCTGACTAATCCTCCGGCTTCACTTGCTCTGGAGCAGTGACTCGGAGAGGCGCTCGATGGCCGTGGCCGGCAGCTTGCGTGCATCCTTCTCGCTGGCCTCGAGGGCCGCTGCCGCTGCTGCTGCCTCGGCGGCCTCCGCCTCCTGCTGGACGCGGGCCTCCTCCTGCTCGCGCTGCTTCTGGAAGTGCCGGAACTCTGTGGGGGTCAGCATGCCGCGCAGCACCGTGTCATAGCTGACACTCACGCCCTTGGCGCACATCTTCTGGTAGAGCTTCCAGCACTCGCGCTCCTTGATGCTGCGCACGTACAGCGGATAGTTGTGGTCGTGGTCCTGCCGCTCGGAGCAGTTCACCGCGTTGTTGTTGTTCTCCTTCTTGGCCTCCTCCGGCGACATGTTGGACGGGGGGGCATCGGAGCCTATTAGCTCCCCCTGCGTGGCCTGCATGGCCTGCATGGGCTTCCTCGACGGCTGATCCGACTTGGCGGATCCTTCACTCAGAAAAATGGACACAGGCGGCGCCGTGGGCGGTCGATTGGCGCGAATCCGGGCTGCCAGTGGGGCTATCGAGCCTCGTCGGATCATGTGCGAGTACTCCTTGGACGCCAGTTGGAAGGTTGGCGGATAGCTGTCTTGAAACGAGACTGCCAAAAAGCTTTAGCTCAGTCGCAAGTGGGTCGGAGGGCGAAGGGCGGGGACTAACCTGGAAGGATCTCGAGACTTACCCGATTTGCCCGTCTTCCGCAGGAGCGGAGCCCTTCTCTGTGGACTGCGCTGCGTGGATCCCGGCGGCTGCTTGTCGCCTCCGCCGCCTGGCGTGGAGTTCGCCGAGTGGCTGTCCTCCCGCTCCGAATCGCTGCCCTCGGAGCTCAGCAGCGACACGAGAGTGATGACATCGGGGGCCACAACGCTGCGTGTCCTGCCCAGGGTCTTCTTGGACGAGTCACTGCCACCCAGTAGGGAACCCTCAACGCCGCTCGTTGGGGGCGATGCCCCGCCAGCCACCGAGGAGCCTGTGCGCGTGAAGATCTTGCGGCGGCGCAGCTTCTGCTGGCTCCGCTTGCTGGCTGCAATCACGCTCTTGCTGTTCTCGTCCAGACCCCGCACCGGAGCGGACATAGCACGCACCAAGGGCGGACGCCGCTGGACAGTCAGCGCTGTGGGCGAGACACTCAAGGAGGGGCCGTGGGCAGCAGCTGCTGGCTCTGGCTGCGGTCGGCTGGGCGGCTGTTCACCGCTCTCCGTGGCGCTATCGATGTCACTGGGTATGGGCTCCTGCTCGTTGGTGGCCCGAATCGTCTGGGCCAGCACAATGTTCAGATTGATGCGATTCTTGTCCGCCTTCACGCTGCTGCAAAAGGGAAATGCAGTCAGGCTGGAAGCGAAAGTTTCGAGTGACCCAACCCGACTCGACCCGACCTGACCTGGCCTACTCTGCCACCGCTCCCGCCCGCTGCCTGGTCTAAATTTAAATCAAATTATTTTGGCAATTTATGCTGTTCTCGATTCCGAAGCATGCAACATGCAAACACCCACACCCGAGCAGCCACAGAAATAGAAATTAGCTGGCGATGATTCCGGTTACTGCCGCCACACCCACTCCTGTCTGTGGGTCTGTGTGTGTCTGGGTGTGGGTTTGATTGGGTAAATGAAACCATGTCAATTACATTTGCAATTTGCGCCCAAAAAAAGGGGAAGGAAAAGAAAGTGCAGAAAAGTTCATTGAACCCAAATCCATGGAGTACACCCCCCGGGGTACTAACTCTGGCAACTATCTTGTCGGGCAATGATCGACTTAAGTATGCCGCAAGTCCTGGCTCCGAGCCTGAGCATGTCTAGCGTGTGTTATGCACTGAACATACAACTTTGACGTTTGATTCTGGTGTGAAGCATGCAAATTGTTCCACCTTCCCACTCCAAAGTGTCATTTTCGGCATATTTATATGGATGTGGGTATGTGGGAGCCTCCTTTGTTGGCTTCTCCAATACGCAACCACCTGACACCAAGGTCAAACAAATGGTATTCCATGGATAGGAATTGGGAGAGAGCTTATCCCCCTGAAATGTCGTGCCCTGACTTCCACTTACTTCTTTGGATCCGCGTGATCGGTCTGCGTGTGCCCTTCCGGCTCGTGGTGGTCCAGCGTGGGCTTCAGCAGCGAGGATGTGGAGGACCAGGCCACCAGACTCTTCTCCCTCAGCCGCAGCGAGCTCTGGCTGGAGGCGGCGGCGGCGGCGAGGTTGGGCTGCCGGCTCACGGGATAGAGCTTCTGGCGTATGTTCTCGATGGAGCGACCGACGGAGAGGCCGCGCGACAGGTAGCCCCGCTGCTGGGCCGTGTACTTCGAGGCGGGCTCGATGAAGGAGTGTTGCTTGCGCACACTGGCGGGCAGCGGCAGTGGGCAGCGGGCGGAGGAGGCGCTCCTCGAGCTGCTGGATGTTCCGTTCGCGGTTCCAGCTGTCTGAAAGCGACGACGGCTCGCCACAGACAGCGACATGATGACAGACAGCGACAAAGTTTCGGCAAAGCTTTGATTAGCAACGGTGACAATGAATGCGAGTGGGAGTGGGAGTGGGAGTGGGAGTGGAGTTGCAGGATGACTAACAGTCCTGTGTGTGTGGTTGGGCTTACGTTTCAATTGCCAATCAATGTGGCACATCGAATGCAAATCAATTACGAAGTCATTAAGCCAGGAGGCTATAACTTTGTCAACAAAGCAGCCCGAGAAAAGCCAAACCGCGACCGTAATACCAAAACAGAGAGCACCAAAGAACCGAAACCGAAACCGAAATCGAAAGCCGAAAAAGAAACACCAAAAACTGTGAAGCCAAAACCGGCCGCAGTCACGAAAGCGAAAGCCACTTGAAGTACGTACGTGCCCCGCTCCGCCGGAGCTGGAGCTGGAGCCTCTTCGAAGCGATGTTGTGGCCGGCCCCAACTCTAATTATGCTCTGCGATTGTGGAGGCTTCCACGTTCACTCTGCTTGCCTGCCGTGCATCGACTGCGTTTTGTGAATGAACAGCACCAGCCTGCACCAGCAGGACCAAACAGGCTGCCGAGTCGCATTCGTAAACGGCGGATACGAGTCCGCCATTCGGGCCTCTCCGTGTCTCCCCGTTTATGTTACCAACAAAACAATCAACAAAATCATATCGTTGGCAAGGCGTCGCTCGGTGCCTGTTATGCTCGCTCTCTCTTGGCTCCAGTTGGTTCGGTTTGGTTTGGTTCGGTTGTTTGTTCCATTTCCGCCCCCACACATCAGTGCCAGAGACATGTGCAATCCCCATCTGCCCAGGACTGTGGTCTGAATGAGGTCTGCCAACTTTTTGCTCAACTCAATGAACTCGCACGAACTTTTGTTTTCATTTCAGTGCCCACGCAGCAATTACCAGAAAAGTTATCAACTTTGGCTGTACTGAGTCCCATCTTAATGCATTTTCAGGACTGAGGACTGAGGACTTGTTGCACTTTCGGATTTACTCTGTTATCTGTCTATTATCTACAGCTTAATCTACAATTACCGTTGCTCGCAGCGAGAGAGAGAAGGAATGCGTACGCGTCGCTCAATGTGAATGTGGGAAAAAAAGTTTTGGATGCAAATTCTACTGTCACTCCTGCGAGCATGTGGGGGTAGTCGTCCGCTCTGCCGCTGGCAAGTGAAAAACTTTCATATTTGTGACAATTTCAAATTCATCAAAGACATGCAAAGTTGCCCAGGAAAAAGGGAAAAGGCTGCCGTGCGCGTCGGCAATCAAATGAAACGTACACAACGGGCGACGGGAGGGGAGGGGAGGCAGCGAGAACAAACAGAAATGGGCATAAAACAGCGAAAAGGAATGCCAAAAACTAAATCAAACCCCGTCCAAGGTCAAAGCCACATCAGCCATCAAGCCAAGTCATTTCCATATATGCCAGTAAATACGAGTTTATACTCGTATAATCCTTTGCCCCCCCTTTGTACTTAAAACAAAACTGAGAGCGGCCCCTCGAGGAGCGGGTGGCATTGTGTGCCGGCATTAATCATTTCAAGTCGATATTTATTGCAGGTGCTCGATGACGCGACTTTGACTTTGACGACGGGCCACAGGCTGAAACCACGGGGAGCACGGCGTAGTGGGGAGGGTTTCCGTTTCGCTTTTTGCAATTTATAATCAATTACAATGGAAATGCCGTAAATAAGCAGAGCCAAATAAATGCATATTAGACAGAATGGCCCGTAACCAAATACGGAGCGGTACCGCTAGACTTTACTCCGCTGTCATGTCAAAACAAAAAACCATTTTAATTGAGAAAATCGGCAGAGAGGAATTTACTGTGCCTGGAACGGGGTAGCCATGTGAAACAGATTGCAGGTCTATGGGTAGATTCCGGGGGATTAGCACAATAATACACAAATAAATGGATCTCAATTTCAGTCGCCACAAGGAGTACCTTTTTAAATAATAACAGCAAGTCAGGTATCGATAATTATTTCCTGATATCGAAGTTAGCAACGCTGCGTAGCAGCTGGTAGTGTGCAGCATTATCTATCGGCAGACTTTGTAAACTATCGACAACACTCGAGCTGTCAAACAGGGTGACCATTTAGGGTAAATGATATACTCCGTTGGATGGAGCTAGTTAATAAATAAAATGTATTAATAATTGAATATAGAAAATAGTATACAGAAATCAAAGAAAATAAATAACATCAAAGAAAAAGAAAGGAGTACTGAACTGACCGCCAAACCACTCCGAGCTTATTCTAATATTTAAATACGTTCCTTTTCGCTTTCAGGGAAGCAATATAATTATTTTCCTCTTTTGTTGCGCGCGCTATTTTTAAATATTTATCAATATACATACATGGTGTCTCTTTTAATAATTTACATAAATTTACATACTAAAGTCAAAGCTCCATTGCTTTCAGAAGGGGTGATTTAAATGAAAAATTCAAATACAAATTTGAAAAGGTGTATATATAAAAGCCAAATTAATTCTTCACACGGATTAAAATATTGTTTCAGTGTTAAAAGTTTTTGCCAGCTAGTAAAATCAAATGGAACATCAAAGTCGTGGAATATGATTTAAGACTACGGTATATTTATGGTATATTTTTGAAATGAAAAGGTATATTTTTGAGGGTTTGACGGTATATTTTAGCTGTCACACAGCTGTCAAATGACGTCGCTGCTGTCGTGGCGTACGAAGAAAACTTAAAAAGAAAGTGTCATCGGCTTTGTTGCAACGCTCCGGCAATTAAGCTCATTTTCAATTAAAAACTACACCAACGCCTACGCAAAATGTACCGTCAACTGGTTGCCGTCTGCTTGATCGCCCTTATGGGTGCATCCGGTGTCTATGGAAGCTGCAAGGCCACCGTGTCATCCTTCAGCACCCAAGATGCCACCATTCTGACGCAGCTAGCGCACGTTGCAGAGTTGACGCTGCAGTGCAGCAACTCTGCACAGCCCAGCCTGTTCGCCGAGTTCCCCTGCGGCAAGGTTGTGCCCGTGGCCAAGGTTGGCGACAGCAAGTACCAGGTGAGTGCCCTCATTGATGCACCTGTGGAGCGAAATATTATAATCAGCTGATTTCAGGTGAGCTGGGTGGAGGACATCAAGCAAGGCAGCAGCGGCAACGTCCAGGTGCGTCTCTTCGATGAGGATGGCTATGCCAACGTGCGCAAGGCACAGCGCGATGGCGACAAGGTCTCCACGGTCAAGTCTCTGCTGGACATCACCGTGCCCACCAAGAGCGCCTACAAGGGTCCCTGGGTAAAGGCCGAGATCCTGGCCGCCTTCCTGGTGGGCGGAGTTGCTTACTTCGCTTTCACCACCAAGAGCAAAGTGCAGGCCTAGTATTGCGTCTCGCCCAGGGTGTATATTGCCGACCCATTGAATGAAATTCATTCACCTATTTCACGTAGCAACAAATTAGCGACTCTCCGATCTGGATCCTAGAGATTTTTTACCATTAATCATCCAAAGTTGGGTTGAAAATAAAAAACATCAAAAACCGAAAGCGTTGAGTCGAGACAAGAGTCTATTTAAGGTAACATATTACATAGATCCAAATCCGAGTACCCATGGTGGTCTCCTCGTCCGATCATTGGGTAATTCTTCTGTTTATCACAGCACAGAAAATGACTACACGGTGTATCTTAACTAAATGAAACTAAATCGATTCGATTATTTGAAAAAAAACCTGCGGCAACTTCCCTCGTCGAGTTTTTTGCGAAGCGAAATAGAGGTGAGAGTCTCCATGGAACTCTTCAGAACAGTCGCATATTCGGCCAGCTCGGTCTTGCTGAAATTGCTTATCAGACTTAGATCTGCGTCGCAGAAGTAGCAAAGGTCTTCCTTTCTTATGCCATCCCACAGGTTGAGAAGCAACTGCAAGGAGACTTATCAGTGATGAATCAATGTATGAATGGGACTACGGATACGCACAGAAAGGAAAACTGTTGCCAACGACGATTGTGGGTCAATCTTTTTCCAGTCGTGGAGGAGAAGCGCCAAGGTAACGTGGTGATAGTTCCGAATCTTCGGCAAGTTCTTCACAATGCACAGAGCCTGCATCAGGAGGAGGGCATCTTTTGTGGCTTTGCCAACTTGATTCAGGACCGACAGCTCGAAGTCAGCGGCGATCAGCATGAACGTGGTGGCCTTGGATCTCTTTGGGCCAGGCCAGGCCTTCGGTAGAGCTTGTGCCGAAGATTCATCAACCACAAGTTTTACGGCTGGGGCGAAATCAATGTAAAACTCCCGGGTGCTTGATACGGCATGAATGGTGTGGCTGTTGTTGCGTCTCTTGTAGCGCAGCAAGTAGATCTCACGCCTGCCCCTGACAGTGGAGCCATGGGCATTTTCGAGTATGGCCTGGGCCCAAGCATGGACATCCTCGCGTTTCAGATCGGATCCATCGCTCAGCATTTTGTCTGTCATGTATTTGTTGCAGGGCAGATCCTGGAAGTTCAAGTGATAGATCCCCGGACGGTCCTGGTCCTTTTTCACGGTAATTGCGTCATAATAGCGGAATTTCATTTCCATCATGACATCGTACTTGTTGTCATTATGCAGCCGAATGCCGTGCCCGCCACAGCCTACGGAATGAACACCGAATGAGAACTTACTGCCTCCGTCTCCATGCACTTCTCCCATTACTCACCAAAGACTATTGGCTTGATTAGGCAAGTGTCCTTCAGGGTTTCATCGTCCTCCCACATTTTCGACACAAAATCGAGAATATTTTTAAAGTCGACATCAGTCTGTCCATTGAATGGGTTGCGCAACTCATCGGCGATTTCCTGTAGCTGCTTTTCAAAGACAGAACTAATTTTTGTGCTTGGCTGTTAGGGCATCAAAGATAAGGATAATCATGCATTAAATTAAGCATCCGAATATTCATCTATTTCTTAAGTATGTTAGAAGACTGTGGAAAAGAAGAGAGAGAATGGGTGCACTACTCAAAGCAATTGGCACAGTGGGCCCAACACACCGTGAATTGATGAGAGTGTAAGTCGGTGTTATTTGGTAAGACAGCCTCCAGGGAATATTTGTGTATTTGCGACCCGACTATCGAAGAGCCGAAGATCTTTTTGGGCTAGTACCTTCTACTCTGAAGAGGATCTGCTTTTGAGATGAAAATGGATGCTACTTTCAATGGAAGAGGGGTCTGGAGGCCGGTGGTATGGTCAGGTCAGGTGCATACAAGTAAGGGCTTGCGGACATGCATGTGGTATGTATGTAGCGATGATTGCATCAAACTCCAGAGTGCCGCTGACCAGCCGTGGGATACATGCTTTGGGCCGCTGTGCACCGACCAACACTCACACTACTGCAAGCTGTACATATATGTTATGTACTTTAACCAGATTATATACAAAAGCACAAATACATATGCACAGAACATATGTACATGCATACATGTGTATAGGTAGGGAGGGACACACGCAAAGCGCTCGACTGTGCCGCACTCCGGACATCGTTTATCGATTGACAAAAGGCAACAACAACAACAAAAGCTCTTCCAGCGGCGGTAGGTAGGCCGCTGTCTGCACCGTCCACCCCCTCATCCACTTCCACCCACGCTCCATAAACACAAGCAAAACAGCAGCGGAGAGCCAGAAGTACATACACACACACAACTAATACATAAGCACATAACTACATAGGTATGTGTGTACGCCCATGCATAGCCATGCCTTCACCGCCGCCGAACGGGCAAAACGCCCAACATCCCACCTTCCCCCTCCCTGCGACACATCTTTCCACAAAATGTTGCTGCTGCTACTTGTGGAGTAGGGGGAGCTGGAAGAAGGCAATAATGATGATGATGGCGATGATGATGATGACTATGGAAGAGGCATGCCGGGAGCTGGCCCATAGGTGGGAGGGGGGCCGGCAGCCAGGACGAGGGAGGCGGCTGCCACTGACTGACTGTGTGAGTGTGTGTACAGTGAGAGAGAGAAACAGTGGGACAGGGGAGCTAGGTGGAGCGGACGTCGCAGTAGGAGCTGTCGCTGGCTGAAGGCTGAAGGCAGGCACGGGCATAGAGAGAGAAAAGCGAAAAAATATAATAAAAGCAACAAAAACCCGCACAAGCGAAAGAGATACAAACATACACACATACACACGGACAGAGAAACACACGCAGCTGGCACATACACACACACACACACACACTCTTACAGGCGCCATCTACGTGTTAGTTTGGGGCTCAGCTCAGTCCGCCTCGCACAAGAAGGCAAGAGGGCGCGGACGAGAAGGCGTGCAGTGGCTGGCTGTCGAGAGGGGGGTGAACTGGTCGTAGGTTCGGTCGCCAGCAGTCAGCACTGGGGCTGAGTGGGGCCGACGCCAACGACGACGACGACTACAGCGCTGGCAACAAAAACAACTTGGAAAAGGAAAAAGAGTCGCAACAAAAACAACAACACGAACTGTTGTCAGAGGAGATGAGGGAGACGTGTGGTGAGAAGAGGAGAGAGCGGCGGTAACAGAAATTCTACGGGACTTGCTTGGATCGATGGAATGGAGCAACTTTTCTGGGCTCCCTCGCCTGCTCTCTGCCCCTCTTGGATGCTGGGTTAAAGCGGTACAGCACATACATAAGTATGTACGACTAACGAATAACACAGCTTTCACAGTAAAAGCTTTGACGCAGCGACGTCCGATAAGGACAAAACAGCTAGCGAAGAGGACAGTGATCTATGCTTAAGCAGGCCATACGCCGGGATTGGCACTTGCGATATTTATTCCTTTTCCGTATGCCACCAAATCAATGACCTTGAACTTCAGAGATGCGCCTGTGAGCTATGTGTGTGCGTGCAGGCAACTACACATTCTGGGGGCACGACACGTGATGAAGGTGCAACAGTTTCTGCATCGGCAATCAAATAAAGCTGCCTCGAAAGCTAAGGCTGCAATGCCAGGGAGAAGAATGNCAGACACACATACACACGGACAGAGAAACACACGCAGCTGGCACATACACACACACACACACACACTCTTACAGGCGCCATCTACGTGTTAGTTTGGGGCTCAGCTCAGTCCGCCTCGCACAAGAAGGCAAGAGGGCGCGGACGAGAAGGCGTGCAGTGGCTGGCTGTCGAGAGGGGGGTGAACTGGTCGTAGGTTCGGTCGCCAGCAGTCAGCACTGGGGCTGAGTGGGGCCGACGCCAACGACGACGACGACGACTACAGCGCTGGCAACAAAAACAACTTGGAAAAGGAAAAAGAGTCGCAACAAAAGCAACAACACGAACTGTTGTCAGAGGAGATGAGGGAGACGTGTGGTGAGAAGAGGAGAGAGCGGCGGTAACAGAAATTCTACGGGACTTGCTTGGATCGATGGAATGGAGCAACTTTTCTGGGCTCCCTCGCCTGCTCTCTGCCCCTCTTGGATGCTGGGTTAAAGCGGTACAGCACATACATAAGTATGTACGACTAACGAATAACACAGCTTTCACAGTAAAAGCTTTGACGCAGCGACGTCCGATAAGGACAAAACAGCTAGCGAAGAGGACAGTGATCTATGCTTAAGCAGGCCATACGCCGGGATTGGCACTTGCGATATTTATTCCTTTTCCGTATGCCACCAAATCAATGACCTTGAACTTCAGAGATGCGCCTGTGAGCTATGTGTGTGCGTGCAGGCAACTACACATTCTGGGGGCACGACACGTGATGAAGGTGCAACAGTTTCTGCATCGGCAATCAAATAAAGCTGCCTCGAAAGCTAAGGCTGCAATGCCAGGGAGAAGAATGGCAGAGAGGCAGGGTAGGGTGTGGGTGTCCACATCCACTGCTTCGCACTATTGCGATTTTGTCGCGCTCACGCACACATGCATACATACATATGCATGTACAGCAACAACAAAATGAAACGGCAGCAGCCCCAACTAACAATAACAACAACAGAAATCTCATGTTTTGTGCCGTGTGGGGGAGGGAGGCGGCGAATGTGGGCGGTTAACGTCTCTGCTGCTGTGGCTGTGGCTGCGGCTGTTGGAGCGGTGCGACGCTGCGCGTTTTATTGCGAGCGCCAAACTGCGCTGCTGCCGTCTATCTGTTGTATGTGCCTTGTGCCTCCTCCTCTGCCTCTGCCACTGCCACTGCCAGCTATGATGATGATGAAGTTGCCTTCTTGTTCTTCTTTACACGTCCTCCAACGACGGTCGGCCGCGTCGCTGTTGGGGCCCGCTTTTGTTGTTGCTGCTGGTGCTGGTGGTGGTGGTGCTGCTGCTGCTGCTGCTATGCGTCTGTGTGTATAAGTGAGTGCGCAAGAAGAGTGCGGCCCGTGCCGGAGGGTGGGTGGAGAGGAGAGGCATGGGGCATGGTCTCCCTGCTGCCTGGCTTGGCGCCGCTGCTGCTGCTGCCGTTGCCGTTTCTGCTGCTGCTGCTGCTGCTGCTGGTGTTGGGTTTGTGCATGCAGCTCATCGTCTCATTCAAGTGTCCAACTTTTGTCGAAGCGGTCATACAAAACGGCAGTCGGACGGTTTCTCGCTCGCAGTTTACTCTCTCTAGCTCTCTCCGTTGGCGTTCCGTTCGGCTCTCTGCCTACGCCTGTGCTGGTGGAGCGGCCGGGGAGATACACAGAACGCGGCTGGGCGGTCAATAGAGCGCCTACACGCCTATAAAAAGACTTCGTCCGTCCCGAGCACTGTGGAACAGAGGTTTTGGGTTTTCGAATAACCGTTAGCAACCGTACAACGCCAGTGTACCGTTGACAGCAGGATGAAGGACACGAAAGCGGCGCGCGCAATTAGCGAGTCCTCAACCACATCCGATAACACCTCGGACTTCATCGATATCGTGAAGCGGTACGACGTGGTCTACAACAACCACAATCCGGACTACAAGAACGTGGAAGTCAAGCTGAAGGTGTGGACGCAAATCGCGGACGAGATTGGGCTGTCAGTGGGTAGGTACCAAACAAGTACCTACATTTGGAGGTCTTGTCTAGAAATAGCAGCCCTGCGGAACGCGCTTAGTTAGAGTATCAAAACATACATATGTACATATGTATGTATGGTACGTACATATGGAAGTATGTATTAAAAGGAAGTCTTGTGCCTTGAATACTCGGGCGGCGGTTGAAATTGAATTACGTAGAACACACATACATGCATGCATGCAAACATTCATATGTGTGTACCTGTCAGCCGCCAGCGGACAAACTCTGTCGCCGACTCTGCTGCGTCGCTGCGAATCGCGAACCGCCCGGCCTGATATTTTTCGTACGCTTGTGTTCCTACACCTACAAACATATGTATATGTACATATGTATGTACATACGAGGCGATGATGGGAGTGGGTAGTGGGGAGCACGGCGCAGGGACGTGAAGAGGACGGGGGAGGGTAGCGCGACTGCGGTCGGCAAATTGCAGCGAGAAGCAGAAAAAAGAAGCAAAACACTGCCACTGGCACGCAGCAAAAACAAACAAGCACAGAAGAGCGAAACTGATACAAACTGCGCGCTCTGATGCTGAGACGGAGCGGCCAAGTGACCGGACAGAGAGAGAGAATGATAGAGAGAAGAGAGCCAGCGCTTGTCAAAACAAAAATATTGCGCGGCGTTGCCAAATGCGAGCCAAAATAACAAACGGGCAACCACCTGTGCCAAACATTCGTTAAAATTGAAAAGGTGATTCCGCACGAGACCAACTGATAAGGCAAAGCGAAGCCGTGGTTTGGGAAACACTAGCTTGCCCCGAACAAATCTGATAAAGAACTTGACTACACGTGCAAGTGAGTGTTTCATAAAACAGTAAATAGCAGCATGTGTGCGTGCCATGTACATACATTGCACAAACATGCATACATGCATATGTGTAGATACAGTAGTTGCTTTTACTTTACCGTACACTTTGTGGCTTCTGGAATGGCCGGACAAAAGACAAGCTCTCGCGTAAGTCGTTCCCCAACAATTTGGAGTCGCAATAGATAGGACCTACTTCAATCGCGCTGCTAAACAAACGCGTGCAACTGAGTTTTAAAGCAAATTCCTAAGAATTGCTTGTATTTTCTAAATGTACTTACGATCATATTAAATTTATAGATTATTTGTATACACACTATAACTTCTCCTAACTTTGTTGGTTTCTTGGTGCAAAGTTACTTTTGGGAGGCCTGTCGCGCCGTTTCCGCGAGTTTGCTACTGTCGTGACCCAATTTAGCTATCGATATCGGATGTGTTGGTGATTGTTGTTCCCTGAAAGCGCAAAAATAATCGAATGTTCCGAATAAACGCAAGTGCTTTCCAGAATAACGAACACACTATCATCTCAAACTTTAAACAACCGTATAATAATGTACAATTTATTTTTGCAGAAGCCTCAAAGCGAAAATGGAAGAACTTACGGGACAGTTACACAAAATATCTACGCTCCTTTCGAGTGGGCACCAAAACCTCCAAGAAGTACCAGTATTGGGCCCATGCCGACCACATGGAGTTCCTGAAGCCCTTCCAGGGACCTGGCAGGTGAGTGGACAATTGATATTACCAATGGATATGACTTATTGAGGGAATCGAATCTCCTATTGATTGCAGAAACTCAGCCAACGGAAATGGAAAGTCAAACGATGAGGACGACACCGAATGCGACTTCGGCTATCAAGTGCTGGCCAAGGCAACCAGCAACGGAGGCGAGGACGAGCTGAAGATTACCATAGCCACAGCATCGGCCAGCGGCTCGGCCCTGAGCACGAACACGGTGAACACCTACACGACGGCCATGACAAGCACAGGAGCTCCCACATTAACGCCCAGCCTAGGCGTTGCCACTCCACCGAATCTGATCTCCCCTAGCAGCAACATCGGAATAGGTCCCCATAACCATAACAGCAACAGCAACGGCAGTCTCAACTGTGCCGCAGTGGCTCCCCTCAGTGCCCTGACGCCGCCTGCCACCACGAATTCAAATAGCGCCGTGGTCCTGCCTCTGCCCGCCACCGTCAGTAAAGCCAACGCCAACGCTAACGCCAATGCCCTCGTCTCTCTCGCCACTCACCTGCCTCTCGGCATGGGCGTGGGTGTGGGTGGACTGGCCCAGCAAATGTTCCCACTTGCCACGCTAAAGGCGGCTGCGGCCGCCGCCGGACTACCACTGCCGCCCTCTGTCACGCCTCCCAGCTGCAGCAACGCCAGCAACAGCAACAGCAACGTGGGCTGCCTGATCATCGAGCCGCATCTGTTCGCGGCTGCCGACAACTTCAAGAAGGAGCTGAACGCGGCTGCTGCGGCCGGAACACCGCTCGGACTCTTCCAGAACTTGGCCAATCAGGTCCAGAACGCCAACAACCTAAGCCTGAGCCGGCTGAATGGCAATGGACTCCCTCCTGGACTGGGCAATCCCACGCCGCCACCTCCACCCCCGCCCGTTACAAACGCCACGAAGGTGCGACGCGTCCAGCCCTCTCCCCAGACGGCGGCCATCAATTTAAGTTGCTCGGCTCCGCCCAGCCAGCAGCCGGCACAAGCCAAGATGCGCAAGATCAGCGATCCGCGCTTCCCCAGCGACTGGGATGTGTCCGCCGTGTTGCAGGCCAACCGCGAGCTAGACGCCAACACTCTCTTCTTCCTGAGTCTGGCGCGACAGGTGCGTGCCATGCCCATGAAGTTCCAGTCGTTGGCCAAGATGCGTTGCATGCGCATCGTGAGCGACATCGAGCTGGAGCTGGAGAACTATGACTGCAACGGGGGAGCACCGCCCGACGAAACGGTTGCAGCCAACATGAAGTACTGCAGCATGGACACTCCTCCGCCTCCGCCACAGGACGGATCCATGATGAATTCCACGGAGCACTTTGTGTACGTCATGTCGCCCTCGCGAGTGGAGAGCATGATCGATATATCCTCCGATGAGGAGACCACCATTAACGGTTGTAAACAAACCTCCACAAACACCAAATGTCCCGTCAACTGGTAGTCAACGGTTCCCACGCAAGTCTAGGTGAGTCCCCATCATAACGCAGTTCTGCAAAAAATACTAACGACCAAACATGCCGATTGCAGTTTACATGGATGGATGATAAGGACATCGAAAAGATAGCAATGCTATCAAATGCAAGGCCCACTATCAGGCGGCGGCCGAGTCCCTGCTGGATTTCACCGTGTCCACCAAGAGCGCCTATAAAGGTCCCTCATAGACGTCCTAGACATTATTAACAATTTTACCATTGAGCAGCCCATTTTGGGTTGAGAATGCTAGATATAAAAAGTCCAAATGTATCTAAGTGATATCATAGTATGAAGTATAATTAAAGATAAATTGTACATAAATACACGCAATGCGCCATGCAAATTAGCCTATCCCGGTCCCACGGCGGAGGCGCCACCGTTCATGGTGGTCTCCTCATCGGAGGATATATCGATCATGCTCTCCACTCGCGAGGGCGACATGACGTACACAAAGTGCTCCGTGGAATTCATCATGGATCCGTCCTGTGGCGGAGGCGGAGGAGTGTCCATGCTGCAGTACTTCATGTTGGCTGCAACCGTTTCGTCGGGCGGTGCTCCCCCGTTGCAGTCATAGTTCTCCAGCTCCAGCTCGATGTCGCTCACGATGCGCATGCAACGCATCTTGGCCAACGACTGGAACTTCATGGGCATGGCACGCACCTGTCGCGCCAGACTCAGGAAGAAGAGAGTGTTGGCGTCTAGCTCGCGGTTGGCCTGCAACACGGCGGACACATCCCAGTCGCTGGGGAAGCGCGGATCGCTGATCTTGCGCATCTTGGCTTGTGCCGGCTGCTGGCTGGGCGGAGCCGAGCAACTTAAATTGATGGCCGCCGTCTGGGGAGAGGGCTGGACGCGTCGCACCTTCGTGGCGTTTGTAACGGGCGGGGGTGGAGGTGGCGGCGTGGGATTGCCCAGTCCAGGAGGGAGTCCATTGCCATTCAGCCGGCTCAGGCTTAGGTTGTTGGCGTTCTGGACCTGATTGGCCAAGTTCTGGAAGAGTCCGAGCGGTGTTCCGGCCGCAGCAGCCGCGTTCAGCTCCTTCTTGAAGTTGTCGGCAGCCGCGAACAGATGCGGCTCGATGATCAGGCAGCCCACGTTGCTGTTGCTGTTGCTGGCGTTGCTGCAGCTGGGAGGCGTGACAGAGGGCGGCAGTGGTAGTCCGGCGGCGGCCGCAGCCGCCTTTAGCGTGGCAAGTGGGAACATTTGCTGGGCCAGTCCACCCACACCCACGCCCATGCCGAGAGGCAGGTGAGTGGCGAGAGAGACGAGGGCATTGGCGTTAGCGTTGGCGTTGGCTTTACTGACGGTGGCGGGCAGAGGCAGGACCACGGCGCTATTTGAATTCGTGGTGGCAGGCGGCGTCAGGGCACTGAGGGGAGCCACTGCGGCACAGTTGAGACTGCCGTTGCTGTTGCTGTTATGGTTATGGGGACCTATTCCGATGTTGCTGCTAGGGGAGATCAGATTCGGTGGAGTGGCAACGCCTAGGCTGGGCGTTAATGTGGGAGCTCCTGTGCTTGTCATGGCCGTCGTGTAGGTGTTCACCGTGTTCGTGCTCAGGGCCGAGCCGCTGGCCGATGCTGTGGCTATGGTAATCTTCAGCTCGTCCTCGCCTCCGTTGCTGGTTGCCTTGGCCAGCACTTGATAGCCGAAGTCGCATTCGGTGTCGTCCTCATCGTTTGACTTTCCATTTCCGTTGGCTGAGTTTCTGCAATCAATAGGAGATTCGATTCCCTCAATAAGTCATATCCATTGGTAATATCAATTGTCCACTCACCTGCCAGGTCCCTGGAAGGGCTTCAGGAACTCCATGTGGTCGGCATGGGCCCAATACTGGTACTTCTTGGAGGTTTTGGTGCCCACTCGAAAGGAGCGTAGATATTTTGTGTAACTGTCCCGTAAGTTCTTCCATTTTCGCTTTGAGGCTTCTGCAAAAATAAATTGTACATTATTATACGGTTGTTTAAAGTTTGAGATGATAGTGTGTTCGTTATTCTGGAAAGCACTTGCGTTTATTCGGAACATTCGATTATTTTTGCGCTTTCAGGGAACAACAATCACCAACACATCCGATATCGATAGCTAAATTGGGTCACGACAGTAGCAAACTCGCGGAAACGGCGCGACAGGCCTCCCAAAAGTAACTTTGCACCAAGAAACCAACAAAGTTAGGAGAAGTTATAGTGTGTATACAAATAATCTATAAATTTAATATGATCGTAAGTACATTTAGAAAATACAAGCAATTCTTAGGAATTTGCTTTAAAACTCAGTTGCACGCGTTTGTTTAGCAGCGCGATTGAAGTAGGTCCTATCTATTGCGACTCCAAATTGTTGGGGAACGACTTACGCGAGAGCTTGTCTTTTGTCCGGCCATTCCAGAAGCCACAAAGTGTACGGTAAAGTAAAAGCAACTACTGTATCTACACATATGCATGTATGCATGTTTGTGCCATGCTGCTATTTACTGTTTTATGAAACACTCACTTGCACGTGTAGTCAAGTTGTTTATCAGATTTGTTCGGGGCAAGCTAGTGCTTCCCAAACCACGGCTTCGCTTTGCCTTATCAGTTGGTCTCGTGCGGAATCACCTTTTCAATTTTAACGAATGTTTGGCACAGGTGGTTGCCCGTTTGTTATTTTGGCTCGCATTTGGCAACGCCGCGCAATATTTTTGTTTTGACAAGCGCTGGCTCTCTTCTCTCTATCATTCTCTCTCTCTGTCCGGTCACTTGGCCGCTCCGTCTCAGCATCAGAGCGCGCAGTTTGTATCAGTTTCGCTCTTCTGTGCTTGTTTGTTTTTGCTGCGTGCCAGTGGCAGTGTTTTGCTTCTTTTTTCTGCTTCTCGCTGCAATTTGCCGACCGCAGTCGCGCTACCCTCCCCCGTCCTCTTCACGTCCCTGCGCCGTGCTCCCCACTACCCACTCCCACCATCGCCTCGTATGTACATACATATGTACATATACATATGTTTGTAGGTGTAGGAACACAAGCGTACGAAAAATATCAGGCCGGGCGGTTCGCGATTCGCAGCGACGCAGCAGAGTCGGCGACAGAGTTTGTCCGCTGGCGGCTGACAGGTACACACATATGAATGTTTGCATGCATACATGTATGTGTGTTCTACGTAATTCAATTTCAACCGCCGCCCGAGTATTCAAGGCACAAGACTTCCTTTTAATAC